TAATAATAATAATAATTTTAATTGTTAAACAATTGTTTAAAATTATTTAACGTCAAACTAAACTTTGTATAAATGTTGGTTAGGATAATTTTTTTGAAAATGATAATATGAAATTTGACCATTTCAGTTGAAAAAACTAAGTTTTTCGAGGACCGGTGATTTCGGACCTGCTTGGGAGGTTTTCTCCCATTAGAGACCGTGCATTTAACCGTCCATCGCTTGGCGGCATATTCGGTATATATAAGGGGACGTATGCTTCGGGTGTTCCAAAATGCCCTAGAGCGAATGAGTCTAAGTTCGACTCTAAGTAACGTGCGATAGAACGTACGGACGGTGCTGTTGGATAAACCGTCTTTTGAAATATTTTCAAAGTATCCATTTTTCAATGTGAACTTTGAAAAATTATCAATATTCGATATTTAAAAAGATTTTGCTTGAAAAAAGAATGTATGAATGAGAATATGTATGTAGGAGATGGTAAGCGTCGCCGTCTTATCTTTTAGGTCTGTCGACAAAGACGCTGGTTTGTAAGCATAAGGCGATAGACATTTGTTAGATTTTAAGTAACCGGATACAACGGACGAAATAAAGGACGGTGTGGATGCGACGAATGAATGCACGWTCGACAAAGGGCAGTGAGTGTTGAGCGATGTAAGAGAGAGTTATTGCGTTTTGTAATAGAGATTAGAATAAAACTGTTTTTCCTATTAAAAATCCTACATATATATATGACCGAAAGAGCCTGCGAAACACATTATGCTCGTAAAAACTTAAACGAACGATGGGAGATAATGCATGCTCTTGTGCGTATATACGTATAGAGAGTAGTAATAACTTCATAGTTCGACACAAGAGTCGTGTTGGATATTCTGCTTTGAAGAAATATATCTATTTGTTGCTTAAGAGAAAATGTTCTCCATATGAATAACATAAGAAAATTAAATAATTTTTGACTGATAGTACGATCAGTTTAATCGATTCGCATCAAATTTTCTCGTAATTATATCGTATTTTTAATTGGTTGTCGCCAGAAAATCGGCTAAATATTCGATATAAAAGGGATAAATAAATTCGATTGCTTGTATTGTTGAATCGTCCTTTAGCAAAACTCGAACGATAAATCTGTCCAAAATCTCTCCTCGAAAGTAGAATTCTGCCACAGTATTCCCTGCTTGTCGTAAGAGGCGACTAAGATTGATGGTATGTAAAGCTCCCCCCCTTCCCTCGGGCAGGGCCATAGACGACCCGGGAGGCGCCTTGACCGCATGTAGGGAGTGAGCAGGAGCTAGTCCTAAGCTGTATATATGCTTGCATGCTATTTATGACGGAGTTAGTCTAGGGTATATATCGCGCGTTTAGTTAGTAAGATATATAGATCGTGTATTTGTCAGTGTGTGTGTGATGGCCTTGAATGAAAAGGAATGGATGAAGGCTAGGCGACCCTGGAGGAGTGGGGTGTGAATTGCGCAACGAAACGCGGACCCACCCACCCCTCCTGCGGATGGGAATGAATGAGTATGCACGCGCGTGGTTTTTAGCTGGTAGAAATCCGACACTCCTCTAGGTACCGGGCCTAGAAGGCCTATGCAAGGTTTTCCAACCGACGAGACAAAAAAAAAAAAAAGGGTTGTAGGATAAGAATCCGTAATGCATAATGTATATAAACTAGGTCAAGTTACGTCCACAGGAGGGATAAAGCCTAACTGTTAAGTGCGCCTTGGTATGCGTGATGTAAGCGCCTCCGGAGAGAAATATCTACTGTTGAGTGCGAACTGATGTAGGAGAAGTGTGTAATGAATGTGTGAATGTCGAGAGTATGGCGAATTCCAGCTAAGCTTTTTGAGGAGGGGCATTTGGGCATGGTATGCATAGACCGTGTGATGCGCCTGTTTCCTCCTATGCATGTTAGTTTAGTTTTGGGTGGATTTTTTTGGCGGTAAAGATCTGACACTTCCCTAGGTACTGGGACCAGAGTGCCTTTTAAAGGTTTTTCCTTCTGACGAAAAGAAAAAAAAAAAGGGTTGCATCAGGGGTACTCTCAGGACCCGTCTTGAAACACGGACCAAGGAGTCTAACATGTGCGCGAGTCATTGGGACTCTAAAACCTAAAGGCGCAATGAAAGTGAAG